TCATTTATCATTGACTTCCACATAGCATAATGGAATGGAAGATTGCATTATCAGTCTATATATTCTACTATTAAACTTTGACTAGTACTGATTTACATACAAAACAAATTTGGGGGGAATAAAATCAGGCTGCTTTTGTTTTTGGAAAGTTCTCAGTAATCTTAAAAGAGACTGTCATCTTAAAATAGATTGAAATATGGGCAGTAAGTTTTAAGATGTCAATCATATTATCACTTCTGGAACTGGTAGAGAAATGACTACACTAAGATATATTTTATGTTATCACTCATGTTTAAACAAATTAGACAGGATTTGCTTTCCTTGAAAAATTATCTAATTGCCTCAGCTTAATCAGTAGTTCATACAAATATAAATGACAGATCCAAAATTAACGATATATAATTGATAAAGAGAAAAGATGTAATTTATGGGGAAGTAAAGTGGCTGGAAAATGAATAAGATGACAATAAATCAATAAAAAAACATATAAAATGTAAGTTGCATTTACTGTGGGGAATGCAGTGTAAGAGAGTGAGTGCTCTTACTCTGAAAGATAATGAAACTACTTTAATTTTAAATATCAAAGCATTTATAGTTACAGGTGAGGAAACACTGTAAATAGATAAAATGTAATAATTCCCTAAATATAAATTAAAACATAAGTATCTCGTGAGACAACTGGCAATTTAAAAAAAGAGGTATGTGAGAAAATAAAATTTTAAAAATGTGAATTCTTCTTATTAAACCTCATGACATGTGACATCCAGATCTTCATTCAAAACTATTATTTGTTTATTTCAGTTATTGAGAGTCATATGCAAAGGGCAAATGTGATCTCTGATATGAGATGAAAACATTCAATTCTTACTCTTGCAAATAGACTTACTTAATCAGGTGGTTTTACCTTGGAAAATCTGTTGTCTGTGTATAGAGTGTGCTGTTCCTACTCACTTTAACTTAAAAAAAGTTTTACTCTTCCAGTAGGTAAACAGTATTCCCTGTTTGCATGCCTTGTCCCAATGGGAGCTGTAATAGTATTTGATCCAATAGCTTCAGTAAGAGATCAGGTATATTGACCTCTTCCAGACATCATGGAGACCAAGTAACTCACACTTTCCCACACTAATTCTAAAAGTTTGCTTAAGTAACCATTTTTTCAGTCTTCAGTGACTATTCTTCAGGTTTCTTATTTGAGAGACCATAAGTTTCGTTCCACCTTGGTACTTTCATTATCATTACCGGTTCCACTGTCTTTTTATTCTGTCTTCATTTTTGTTTTCTCCCTCCTCTTTTTCCTTCTTGCGATTATGTGGAATATGAGACCCTAATTTCTTCTTGTATCAGTATAGCCATTTACCACCGTATTCCTACTTTTTTTCAAATTACCAAAACAGTTCACATCCATATTTAAGAAATTCAAATCCCTCAGTCAGCTGGCTCTCTTCCATTAATTGTTCTTTTCCTATACAAGAAATTTGCCCCACAATCCTGCCATGAAACACTTGGAGCCAACTTCCTTCTTTTCTTAAGCAACTCTGCAGTTCACCAGCTTGAATGAATTCCTCATATCTGATATTAATATGTATGTTCACTTTTAAATCATTCTCCCCATTCAGAGCTCAATTCTGTTCCCACCTGCTCTAGCAGCTTTTTCCAGAATAGTCCAAATAGGCATCAATAATTCTTGTCCGGGGCAAGAGTTTTTCCCTTTTCTGCAAATGGACAGAACCCTTTTTGTTTCTATGTGCCTCTCACATAGCTACGACTGAGATACCTAGTATCACTTAGTTAAATTTAATAGAATCATGCCATGAGCTTTGTTCTTTTCTGTTATAGGAATTAATAGAGCCATAGGCAAAGACAAGTTGAAATTCTTCAAGCAGTTGAGCTGAACATCTAAGATGTTTAGATACAATCTTCTATTTCTGTATAAGGACATTAATTTCAGCCGTAGCTGCCCTGTTTATATTTTTGAAATTTCTCCATATAATTGGTAAGTGCATTAGTGTAAACTTACTCCTTCCTGTTTTATATAATTTATTTTTGCCAAAGGGAAAAAAAGAGTAACTTTTATAATTTGGTTGCCACATAACAGATTATCTCACATATGGAAAATTTCCTACCTATGCCACAACCACCTTTTATTATTTAAGCTGAGATTTAAAAATCTAACGTACTTGTTACTCCATCCATTTGAGTTTATATTTTACTCTTTCACTTACTTAGAAGTAAAATTGGAACTAAAGCATATATAATTTACTTTCTTGCCAAAGTTATCCTGGAGCTCACAGAGACAATTGGAAATTACTATTTCACAAGTCGTTTGAATTATAAGGAATCATGTAGTGAATTTCTAAATTCAAAACACTTCTTTTTACAAATTACTACTTCCTTAAAAGTTGTTGAGGGATATAAGATATATGTTTTTCCAGTAAGTTGACTACCTATTATGTGTTAAGCACAGGTGTAGCAGCTAGGGTTACAAAGGGCTTTGTCTAGGAGTATCTAACGCGCCCTCATTTCCTATTACCAGATTATAGAATGCAAGAGCACACACTGACATTTCAAGAATCTTAAAATAAGTGTATTGTTATTTTACTTTCCCTGTTAGAGGTTTAGGATTATTGATCAGAACTAGCATTATGATAGTGTCACCTAGTGGCTCCTATGCCAAGTTGTGGGCATTTGACTGTAAAGGTTGCTTTTACTTTCAGCAGGTGAATTTCACTTGATAAAGCAAACTGTAAATGCTATGTATATATATCTTTCTCCATGCGTTAACCTTTCCTGAGACCTTGTATTAAGAGCCACTATAAAGAAATAATGCTCATCATGCTAAGTGAAATAAATCAGATGGACAAAGCTAAATATCACATATCACCAATACATGGAATCAAAATATGACACAAATGAACAAAACAGAAACAGACTCACAGATATGAAAACAAACTATGGTTAATGAAGCAGAAAGGGGGGTATAAATTAGGAGTTTGGGATTAGCAGATACAAAGTACTATATATAAAATAGATTAGTAACAATGTCCTACAGTACAGCACAGGGAACAATATTCAATATCTTGTAATACATATAATGAGAAATAATATGTATATATAAATGTATGACTGAATTACTGTGCTGTACACCAGAAACCAACACAACATTGTAAATCAACTATACTTTAAAAAAAATAGGCAAAAATAAATAATCTCAATAGGTCACTGAATATAATGATCCGAGTATATCTGCCTCTCCATGATAAACCTTTAAGAAATAGATGATAAAATAAGTTGAATTGGTATTTTTAAATTAACTATCAGTAATATAAATTATACTTCATTGCATTTTTTATTGATAATATCTGAGAATACTTAGGAGCAGAAATAAAAATACATAACCTGGGATATCATGAAGAATATGTTTGCAAAACAGATCTGAAATTTATCTTTCCCATATTTAAAAATACTCAGCTACGAATATAAGTCCAGTGTTTCAATTGGCAATGCTATGGCATTTCCCAACGAAAGATAAAGGCCCCCTACAGAAAACAGATACAACTTTGTGGCAGGGGCTTATTGGATCCGTTCTCAAGTTCATATGCAGCACCATCCTTCCACCATCTGTTTTCTTTAAAAGATAATGCATTTTTGTGTGAGATGTTTCTCCTCCAACGGCTTGTTATGTATGTACTTCATTGATTTAGTTCTTTCTACGATGCAATTGCATTTTTCTTTTCTGAGCCTACCAATTTCTGCAAAGTTATGGCCAGGGCAGCTCACATTACTCTCTGGGTGGTTTATGTAAATAATAATAAAAACCCCTGAAGCTTTATCCCTGTTCCCAGTAGTATCCCACTGACCTCTTTTCAGCTTGAAAAGGTTCTCTCTGTGGCTGATTTTTTTTTTCTTCCCACTGGCAATTTTCAGCCTACTGTGCTTCTTCATCTGATTTCTTGACTCTTTCTTGACTTAAGAATTAATTATTGAAATATATCAGATGCACTCTGAAAATGTCAGTGTATTTGGTTGGATTTACTAAGAAGCACAGCTTTTCAGCCAACATGATATTGGAATTGAATTTCAAGTAGTGCCTTTCTCCACACATTGCTTTCACAGGCAACACAAAAACATAATGCAGATGATCTATACCATCTCTGAAAAGGTTTGTGCAGTAAAAGGCCATTTGTCTCTATCACTTTACAGCAGAATGTTTACCTTTGCATTTTAGTGCTTTTTTTCTCATTGAAACTTTAACAAACACTTTGTGTAGAACTACAAGCGACTCTCAGAAGCTGTCCATCTCTCCTCCTGCTTCCAAACCAGCCTGTGGCTAATTTAATCTGTCCAATTCAGATGGTTATTGATCCTGCTATAAAAGGAATTCACACCTTCTCTTGTATTTGGTGGCATATTCTGCAAGCCTTATTCTCACAAACTCAGGCACAGGAATTCATACAATGAATAGCACAACACAGCAGCTTGAGAGTGAAAGTGATTTAAACACAAAGATTAAAATCACCTGAAAAGAGATTTGAAAGCATTTATTAAAACATGCCAAGGGTGAATTTAAGAAGGGAAGAGAGGCTTAAATTCACAAGATGTAATTTTAAAACAATATTAATAAAATAATATTATAAGTAGATTGTGCTTCATCCTTATTTATGAACTTATGAAGTAATTATTAGGCACGTACTGTAGGACAAGCTCTGTTTCAGGTGCTTCTGTGAAGTGGAAGATGAAGCCAAAGAGATAAAATCCTTATCCTTATACAATATATTTTCTAGTGGGAGAAGTCAAACAACAGCATGGCAAAATAAGAGAACAAGATAGTTATATTTGAAGGTGATTAGTAAGTTGAAGAAAGCAGAGGAAATGAGGTTGGGACATGGCTGGAGGTGGGGCGGTTGCTGTTTTTAGATGAAGTAGTCATGGCAGGGCCTAACTGAGATGATGACATTTGGACAGACTGAAGGCAGCAAGGGAGCAGAAATGAGAATTTTGAGGGAAGAGGGTCATGTGTGAAGAATAAGACCAGTGCAAAGCACTTCAGGCAGGCATATACTTGTATCCCTAAGAACAAGCAAGGTGTCTGGTGTGCGTGGAACAGACTGAGGTAGGGAAAGAAAGGAAGGAAGACATGGAGAGGAGTAGATGAAATCAGATGGGTAGCTGGACCTGGTTGCACAGGGCCTGGTAAGTTAGCTCATGGACTTGGCTTTTACACTGAGTCAGTGGGACAGCATTTTGAATGTGAATGTGAATGTGTCCTAACTCCCCAACTCACCCTCATCATGTTTCTTACCAAATCTTTTGTTTAGGTCCAAATTTTTACTTCCTAAGATCTGGGCTTTTAAAATCTGAAAACCAGGAAAACTTCATTTCCTATGTTTGAACATACATATTTTCCCTGTATCATGATGCTGAACAGCCTAACTACTACCGAACTTAGGACAGTGGGGTAGGATGAAGAGGAGACATAGGTGGATTAGGAGATGCAGGAAAGAAATGCAATAATCGTATTTCAAAACTCTGCCACCATATTACAGTAACTACCAGAAGTATTACAAACAACATAATCTACTTATCTGACCTTTAAATGTTTACCATGCACTTTTACATATATTTTTTAAATTACCCTTTATTCAACCTTGTGAGACAGTAGCTTTATAGATGAGGAATATATGGCTAAAAGCGTTAAGTAATTTCTTTTAGGGTTATCTATGAATAGTTAATTCACACATTACAGAACCTATATCTTCATATTGCATGACAAATACTGTTTTTACTCTACACTTCCTCAAAAGTTTGTAGGTTAATAGGAATAAATTGTCCTCTCTCTATTTAAAAGGAAAGGGTGAATAAGACACAGTCAATAGTGAGAGATTGATAGAGAACTGGAGAAAGTGAAGGCACCATCAGTGGGAACAAGAGGATGAGGGGCATAGAATCAACCCAGAAATCTGAGTCCTCTGTCATGTTCTAATGCCTTAAAACTGAGCAAAGGATATTTGACACTTATGATAGCAGCAGTGCAATACAAAAATAGAAATCAGTAGTCAAAGATATAATATGAAGACTGTTTCATTGTTTGAAGTAGAATGAAAAAGTTTGCAAGTTTATGAAAAATTTGGACCATGTGAGTGTCATTGATGTCATCATTGTCTTATGAGATCATCAAAATTGCTAGTGTGATCAATTTCATGTGTTTGTATATATTATGTGGCATTTGGGGAAGTTTTCTAATAGGGTATATGCTATAAGACAGCATTCAGAACAACTAATGTGGGCCCAATACAAGGAAGCATAACAATTGATATATTAAAAAAAAAAACTTTGATGTAAAAAAGTTTTCTTCCATAAGCTATAATGGCATCTGAATCAAAGAAATAGGGTTAATTTTCAACATTTTACTATAATATCAAATATCATTTCAATGTGCCTTTAAAAATTCATGAGTATGAAATTGTTTTATAAATTGAGAACTTTTTTTTTTCCTGTTGAAGCATAACTCCATTAGTGGGTAAAGAAGACTCTTTATGGGACTTTTTCGGGATTTTTTTTTCTCTATGAAACCTTCAAGAACATTCCTTTTCTACACATCAAAGCCTTGCTCTTGTCATCTACTCTTAATAGGTCTCAATATTGTTAGCTTTTAAAATAAAAGCACTGAAAAGTTCATTGAATTCTTTTAATCAACTTTATCACATTTATGTCTAGACAGCCATTAAAAAAAAATAAGCACATAGCATTGCCAAAAGAAACTGAAGTGGACAAAACAGCTTCAATTGTCCTTGTCTCTCCTTTCTAGTCAATTTATTTCTCTACCCAGGTGTCTGATGGGTATCTGTGTTTGTGCAGGAACTCTGACTGTATCTACTCCAGCTGAATGCTCACTTATCTGAGTCTAATGATATCAGGGCTCTAGACGCAAATGGGATGGTGAAGACTTTGAGAGGGACTGTGTTAGTCACATTGCGTATGGCTGAGTTTTACTTGCTCTGCAAAGCCTTCTCTGCCTGGTGTACTCTCCCTTTCCACAGCTGCCCTCATCCCCATCCCATTTGGATGGCTTTCTTTTATGAGCTTCCATGGTCCCCTGGCCTTCCTCGATTACAACGCTTACTACACTTGATTGTCTTTATTTGTATGTTTCTTTATCTTCTGTACATAAACTGTTACTATCTTCTTATATAAACTGTAAGAAACTCTACTAGTCCCCAGTACAGTGCCTAGTAATCCACAGGTATTCACTGTATGTCTGAATACATGAATTATGAAAACATTCAAGCACTACACATAGATGAAGCTAGCCTAAGATGTGCTATAAATACAGGACTAAAAATATCATTAATGAAAACAGTAATAGCTAACTCTTATTGAGCACTTACTAAGTGCAGGTGCTTTTCTGAGTGCTTTCAGCCATTATCTCATTTCATCCTTATTACAACCATAGAAGAAAGGGAACTGTTATGGGCTTCATTGTTATGAAAATAATTTGCATGATAATTATTCTAATATCTCTACTTTTCTAGTGTAACCTATTTTTTCCTACTTATCTTCTCATTATTAAATGCTTTAATGAAGTGCAGATCAATTTTGTTATAAATTGCCAATCTAAAAAGAGAGTATTACCTCCTCTAAAATGATACAATTTAAGATATATCTGTATCTTAGAACATTTTGTGGAAAATGACTTAGAAAAAAAAATGCTGGCAGGGAAGTCCACGCAGTAATAAACACGTTTTGTGTATTTATGTCGTGTGACTACGTGCAGGGGAGAAGGCATGTAACAGCAAAGTCACTGTCGCTAAATCTGAAATATTTTTATATGCAGATGTTCAGGAATCCACTTGAAACTGAAAAAAAGTAAATGTGTCATGATTCTACCATTCCACTGTTTTTCAGTATCAAGTGCTAATATTTACTTTTACTATAATTATTTTTGTTTGTATAGTTGGAAGGATTTGAAGATACATTTGGTATCAATTTTGTCATTATTTGTTTACTCTCTCTACCGTTTTTGTTTTGTTTTACTAGTATCTGACTGTTCTGTTTTCAGTTTACTGATCATCAGGAGCAAAGTGCAAAGCTGTCCTGTAAGGTCATGCCGTTGCTTTTCCCAGGCACTACTCTTGTCATTCTCCATTAGATATGAATTAGAAGCACTTTAAAAGCCACACTCTGAGAAATTTGTTGAACTATCTTTAGACACTTTTTTGTATTCCTCTTCCTTTTAATATCAAAAGTTCAACCTTGATTATACATTTTCATTTTGCTGAAAATGTCTGGTGATTTTCTAGCTAACTCTACATTTTTTGTAATGTGTTTTCATCTTGAATGAGTTTATTTTGTTGCTGAGGTTAGCATTTTCTGAAATGTGAGTGGTGTCTTCTCAGCTAGTTAATTTTCTAATGTCACCCCCCACCCTTTCTAAAATTCCCTACATGCCTTTCTGTCTTAAATCCTGCATTTGGAAATCTGGGAATAAGGCTGAAATGTTAGACTAAACACACCAAACTCTTCCTCTTGATTTCCTGCTATATTTGAAACTTTCTGTAATTCACTGAAGATTACTTTGAGTTACAACCTCAGGCGTTATGGCAAATATATTCAACATTCAATTTTTATGTTCTTTAAATACATTTGTAATACATATGAAAAATAGCAGGAGAAGCATTTTTAGTATTTCTTTTTCCAGTGGTAAGAAGAATTAGATTTCTTAGTTGGACAGTTTTATGTTTCAATAAATTATTTTATTAAGCCTATTTTAAGGTTTTATTAACCTATTTTAAGGTTGGAAAAATGTCAAATGCTGTGGCACAAGATAATTAAGAATTTTGGACATTGCTCTGATATTGCTGTGACACTGAGAGAAAGAAATTGGGGCTGTTATTTTATCAACTAATTTACTAAGCTAGTCCCCTCCCTGCTATCAATCTGCTTACCCACAGGGGCACAAACATAACTTCAAATGTGACACTATTTACCACATCTTACAATTTAATAAGCCTAGTGAAAATGATTCATGAAAAGTAAACACTTACAGCTCTCTTTCTCAGAAGACTCATTACAAAATTAAATATAAGTATTGGATTTGGATTTCAGAGAAAAGAAGAGCTCAGAATTAACTAAAATAAGTGCAATAGATCTTTTAAAGAAGTAATTAGCCAGGAGTCTTGAGAACATGAATAAAGGATGCAGATTAACATTGGAGACAGTAAAACATGGAGAGTCAGTCATCAGGGGAGAAACTCCAGAGCTGAGGCAGGAAGTGGGCAGTGACAGTGGTCTTGTAAAGGCGTCTAATTTTTTACATTCGCCTTAATCCTATCCCCTAACCCCTAAATCTAACTCCTAACCCAAACGCTAACCATAACCCTAACCTCTAACCCTAATCCTGTCCCTAGTCAGTGAATCTAAAATTCATTAAGAAAGTGTATTTGGGGATGAGAAGGACTGCATATACCTCACTATAAAGTGAGCCAGTTGTAAATTAAGCTTCATTTTTCCAAAAGAAAATATTTTTTAACTGTCTTCAAGATTTTAACAGTTAAACTTTTAAAGATATTCTTGGCATGGTTAGATATTATCTTGCAGTATTTATCACTTTAATGAGACATTTAAATTAGCATATTTTATAAAATCCATTCATTAAGAAATGGTACTTTATTTCTACTCTCATGATTTAAGGATGTTTTATTCAAAGTTCTCATGTAAATGTTTGACATCAGAATTTTGCCATCACCAAAGAGACTTGAGTCATTGAACATGATTTTCCTAGAGCACAGCTTTACATCTGTTTAAGTTAAGATATTGCAGCAGTTTTGATTTGGTGCTGGCACTGGACATTTTAGTGCATGTCTGAAGTATCCATTTGCTATTCATAATTTACACAATGTAATAACTTAATACATTTCTTAAAAAAATTTCTTTAAGTATTTTTTAAAGACTTGACCAACCCTTGCAATTATCAAGGCATGTGCTTATAACTAAGTCCATGTTAAATTCTGTCTACTGTTATTTTTATGTTTGTAAGGATTATGTTAGGTGATTTTCTTAAGTATTCAGAGCTAGAGCTAAATGACATCATTTGGTAGATATGTAGAGCCTTTATAAGGACTGAT